ATTTAAAAAGATGTGTCTTTAGTAAAACTTTAAAAATGTTCAATGATTGACATTGTCTAATTTATATATGGAACGAAGAAAAGTAAAGAACGACGAGAAGTGCCCCTGGGGACAATGTCTTACCAGACCAGTTCCAAACGGTCGCCGCCGTTTTGGCTTCTGATTGGTGCCAGAAAAACACAAGTTTTCTGGCACCAATCAGAAGCCAGAACGGCGGCGACCGTTTGGAACTGGTCTGGTAAAATTGTCCCAGGGGCTCTTCTCTCGCCGTTCTTTACTTTTCTTCGTTCCATATATATTTTTCCGCCTGTTTCGACTTTCCCTCGCCCCTTTATCTGCCCCTGGGTCTCCGAGGATGACGCCGCGCTGTTAAGAGGCAAACTTACCAAATTTTCGCTTTTAACTTTAAAAGGCGTTTTTCAATTCTCGAAACCCAACATCTAAACTTATTCTTGTTGCAAAAATGTTCGCCTCTTTCGCCCTCTTCATACAAAATTGCCACACAGTCAATGATGAACACGCCGTCTTCAACCTCAGCGACCTCAGACATTGTGAGAAAACGTTTAAGACCTCGAATTACCGGCACAGGTACACAGATCGACAAGCCTGGTAAGGTAACTTGAGACGACTCATTATCATTGGATGCAACAACAATCACATTGTATATTATCGACCATTAACTGTCACAAAATGACCCACAAATGGTGTAATCATTTACCGTTATGTCTCAAGACTTCTAAATATTAACTTTTATTGACCTTTATGTCTTACTGTGTTTTGTTTTGCGTATTGTATCGAAAGGAAAGCGCAAATAAACGGTACCGTAATACCGTGAACAATCTTTTTTCACCGAATACCGTCAGCCAAAATGATGAAAAACCGCATACCGCAGAGCTAGATGATACCGCAATACCGCACGTTAAAATCAAAATTACCGAAATACCGCATGAAAAAAAGCCCAATACCGCAATACCGTAAACCCCCATGTCCCCCTCTTGTAATGAGCACGCGGTTTGTTTTCGGCGATGATTGAAATGACGTGCCATGCAAATTACTTTTTTGATCTCTAGCAGTGATGTAATCTCTCTGGAATCGAGGCCCTTGAATTTTCGTGTGTTTATGCATTCGTATAGCCTTCGACGCCAGACGTATTTACGGTCGTCGCTAAAACGCGCCCTAAATCAATTCAGAAACAAATAAAAAGTACATATCTTGAAGAATATTCGACCGTCGATAAAGTACTGAGGAAGTGAAAAATCTTTAGTAAATCCTGTTTCGTGTAGAATTAATCGCCTCCTCATTTCTCGATCTAATCTTCAAGCAAGCGAGACTGAAGGGGTAAGAGCGTTCTTGTTTATTCCATAATATTGTTTATTCTTGTTTATTCATGAAAGAAAAGACTGGGAAAAGACTGCTAGTACTGAGAATTTTGACTCCGAAAATCAGACTTTAAAAAAAGCCAGGCGGTGGGTCATAGCTCATTTCAACGCTGCATTCTGATAGTTTCAACCCAGAAACTTAGTGTTCCGGAGGGTAAAGTTATTCAGAATAATGCAAATACTGAGTTCTTTATTAAACAAAGCGATTGGTAGCGCTTACTATTAAGAAAACGTGAATGTTTAGTTACAAGGACCATATACAAAAAGGAAGACGATTACATAACAAACTGCGTTGAAATTGTTAGACAAACAATGTTATTTTCCGCGTAAGCATTGGGAGACAGCCAGAGGATAAATGTTTGGAGCTACAACATTCGACCCATGAAGGAATAAAGCAAATAGTTAGTTCCTCGAACTAGCGTCATGTAATTCTTATCATGAAAAAATTCATTAAAGCTAAACGAAACAGTCCATTCGGTTTTGCAGGTTTTCGTGTTCTTATCAGTATAATTATGTTTCTCGACATTTTTGGACAAGCAACTTGTAAATTAACTCATTTTTAAATACACTTGTCGATGCAAAGGTTATAGAAAAAAACTGGATGGAACTGAAGCATGGAAATACTAAAAATTTCGACTATGTTGGGGGATAATTTAATATTTTCTTCATAGTAATTCGTTTTACGAATGACAATAACCTGCGCTTCATTGATGTCTCCTGATTGGCTGAAATGGAGACGATAACTGGTAAATTCAGTTTATAGAAAGCAATTTCCAGGGCAAGAGATGGCCCAGTTTGAATTAAATTTGGAAGCTTTAATTTACCTTTTGGTCAGTCACATTTCTCACCATCTGTTTTTAAGTTAGCTTTTCTTCACTACATGGAACTAGTCCCGGCCGATGAAACTCGGATAACAAAAACTTTATTTAACCTCAAAAAAAAATTTAAATGGCCGGAAATCTCAATCAAAAGCTCATTTGTTTGAAAAACTGTAATCACCCTAAAGACTGTTTCACCCGATACCCTTATACCTCAAAGATGGCTTGAAAAACACGTGCACTCCTTCTTTTTATACCCCAAAACACCCTTGCTTTTTTTTTTAGATGTATTATGTTTTCAAGCTGAAAGAAACGTAAGTTCGAATGAAAAACAACAGACTATTTAACAAAAGAAGACCAGAGGGATAGATGATTACGGGCATGGCATTGTTTTCTACCACAAAACATGAACAATTAAGACGAAAGCGAACTGTCAAAGTTGGGACGACACTTATACTGAACCAATCAGAATGAATGTGAACTTGAACAACTCATCAAGGTCGTCAATGATTTGCCAAAGTTAATTGTGCATATTATTGAAGGCCAATGTGAGCAGGGACAACTGGATTTATTTGGTCATTTAAAGGTTTTCGAACCTGTGACTCTTTCATCGAATGAACTTTTCCTGCCTGCGGCTGATGTTATAAGGTATGTATCTTTCAATAAACTTTAATGTTTTCACGATATCGTTAGAAGATTCAATTGGAAAGTTGTTACAATATTGTAATATGAAAACGGTATAGTTGGAAATTTGATGGGACGTTGTTGGTCAGCTGCAGTGTAGGTTAAGGCGATGTTAAAGAGATTATATCTTCTGGTAAAGCATTGAATCATTTACACGACCCAGGGCAAGTGATTTTACCTCTTATAGCTTCTTATCTTAATGCTGTATCATTTCTGGTATCTGTGATTAGACAGTTTTAGTAGATTTACAGTTCTGACATCTTATATGAGGTAAGAATCGCAAGATATTTTAATTATTTTAAAAGAAAGTTCCTCCACTGTGTTAAATCGATTTGTGCTTGCAGTTTTTGTTATCTGGCAGTAAATATGAACCGAAACGTCAAAAAAAGGGTTTAAAAGTTTGACAGAGCAGAAAAAGTTTTTTTAATTTTCTTTATCAGCGTAAATGTAACATTTATCTTTTACAGTTACCTTTTACATTCAAGAAAACCTCATTTAAGGGAATTAGTTTTGCAGGATGTTTAGCTTCAGTTTGTTTTTTGATCTACTCTATTTATCTATCTCCAAGAGCTGATCAGTATGTCACTTTTGTTTTAGATCAAGCAGTTTGTAATGGATAAAAAACACTGCTGGAGTGCACAGCTGCTTGTGACGCTTTTGGTGTTAAATGAAATTAACTGGACCCACGCATCGATAGGTTAGTTCATTACTGCTGAATTATATCACCTCTCCTGTGCTATCGCTCTGACAATTAATGTACTATTCACGTCCCATCTGAATTGTAAATATCATTCCTGGGGATTAATTAATGATTTGCAAATGAGTATATATAATAGGAAACAGTGGCACGCATTGTCCCATTCACTTCACTTTGTCCGACCCGAAGGGGGATTGGCGACCCACCCGCCCTCCCCAGCGAGTAAGTCAGGTTCCAGATTATCTATTTTCGATTCAGTCTGTCTTGGGCTTGTCCCAGGTCAGATTGATTCCCCATACCTTATTTGACCGCCGCCTGGTTAGCTCAGTTGGGAGAGCGCCGGTCTACTGAGCGGGAGGTCGCGGGTTCAAACCCCGGCCGGACCAACACTCAGGGTCTTTAAATAACTGAGGAGAAAGTGCTGCCTTTGTAATAATATCTGCAAACGGCTAGACTTTCTAGTCTTCTCGGATAAGGACGATAAACCGTAGGCCCCGTCTCACAAGCCCTTGCACATGTATTAAATCTGTGGGACGTTAAAGAACCCACACACTCTTCGTAAAGAGTAGGGCACGTAGTGCCCGGTGTAGTGGCCTATCTCACTTTCACACTCATGTATGGGGGCATCATTACTCATTCCTTCACTACTTGTAAACTGCACCTTAAGCAGTCTGGCAAAGTCCCCCAACCAGTGTTGTAAATTATCCCTGAAAAGCCCTGAGGGGAGTGGATAATAAGATATTTACAATTTACAATAATGTCATGAATAACAGTACCCAGGGATGAATATTATACTGTGCTATCGTAATGAATGAGGGAAGAACCTGGGTGCAAAGGAAAGTATCGTCGAACCTGTACATACGACCACTTCCCATAAGCGAACTATAGTCATTCAAAATACCAAATATTTCCCAGTTAAAACCCTATGGTTAGAGCCTCTGGTAATCAACCATCTCTCTCAAGTCACTACGATTCCTTTAGGTGGCGGTTTTGAATTTTCCGCTATTTTTGACCTCTTGTGAGCAATTCCTTTGACGCCTCGAGCTCGTCTGCTCTCTGTGCTCATGAACAATGTACCACGCTATCCAGAGAATATATTAAACAAGACTTGAGCGAAACATTGAAGTACACATTATCGTAACTTAGAAATTGCATATTCCTTTAAAAAGTAGAAATGTCCAGATCTCTTCTCGGACGAGATCCTCTGTGGTTCGATTCTAGTAAGTATCTACCTATCGCAAGTGACCAGGTAAGTGAGTAAAGGCGTTTTTTTAATGACGTATGTCAACCGGAAGTGGACGTTTTGCATTCTTGTGGAGTGGTTTGGAGACTTCTGTCATTCAAAAACATCTTTCCTCAAGCTCCCAGATCTCTGCATTTGGCAGCAGGAAGCTGATGGTAGTGACGTAGACTAAGATTTGTTTCTCTCTGTTTCTAGGTTGCGGGGCAGTTGTAAATAACACACTTAAAAGTCCTGGCTATCCTCATACTGTCTATCCAAACAACATGAATTGTCTTTATCTGGTTGCCATACCACACGGAATGGCCATGAGAGTTTCATTTGAGGATTTTTATGTGGAGTACGAATCAACTTGCGAGTAAGCAGATGAAAATTGTTATTTCCTAATTCAAGATAAGTGTTTTAAAAGAGCATCCTCGACTGTAGAGCTTTTGGATTTTTTGGCTGTGCGAAAGAGAGCCATAGAGTTAAGAGTTCTGTTACAACGTTTTAAAGTTGTAAAACCAATATTGTTGCTTTATTTTTATATATATTTTTTACAGGCGGGTTGGTCAGTGTTGTTATTGTTATTCAAAGCTGTTACAAGATTAAATGAATCCATTAATAGATGAATATGGATCTCACACTCAGGCGATGCAACGAAGGCCATCGGTGTACGTTTAAAACGTTGGAGGAGTAGGAGAAGAAGGAGAGACAATTATAGTTTTATTGTTGCATTTTTTTTCTTCGTAGCTTCGACTCTCTGGAGATTATCAACAACAAAAATCAAAAGTATGGCATATACTGTGGTCTGGAAATTGGACGAAAAGTAACCGTCACCGGAGAATATGTTTTGTTGATATTCCGCTCGGACTCAATTGATAGCAAAAGAGGATTCTGGTTATTTTTTCACGCTGTTCCAGTGGGTAGGTATCTTTTGACATCACAATAACTGTGAAATGTGAGAAAATTCCATATGGATTTATGAGATTTATTGTGCTATATCTGCCGTATTTTTTTCTGGGACTTTGAAGGAAACAATAGCACGTACGACAAGAAAGGTATTACATTTTCTTTATGTGGAAACTAAAGCCAGGGATAGTCCAGTTTTGTCGCGTTGAAGCAATCTAAAAACAAATCAGATGGGTGAGCTATAAAATTACTCTGACGGGCAGGCAAGCGTCTGTGTAATTCACAAAAAAGCGGTGCACTTTTTTTCTTCTTTTCACATTTGATATTGCCGATCAGTTATATACTTATTAATAAAATAAATATTGTTGCCACTTCGCATAACCAATCTCGGTACTTAAAGAGATGAAGACATACTGAATAATACGTGATTTTATAGATCTTTTTAGTCTTATTAGTCTTTCGGCCGAACGTCCTAGGAAATACATCGTGAAGGAAGTTTCATTATAAGTTGAAGTCATGTCCTTGCAGTGGGACTAAATTCACTTTTCTTTTACATGACAAACTCTTGATCTAGACTCCTAATGTGACAACTTTATACTTTCAGTAGGATCTTCCATATGAGCAATGTCCTGTTCAGTTAATTTATTGTCATCTACATTATTTTATAAAAAGTGATAATTATTTCAGGATGTTCAACGTTCTCTATTTTCTTTAACAGATAACAGTACAACTTCTGAACCACCCTCAAACGGTATCGTAAGATCGCATTTTGCTGTTTCATCTATGTTCCGCATTTTCCCCACCATTCTGGTTAATTGTATAGTGTCAATTGGCAAACACGCCGTGTTTGAACTAATGAAACATACTTATACGCTTGTTGGTTTGGGTGCATAAATAACGGCGTTTCCGACTGTGTACCGTCACACCAGAAAAAGGGTGGGGTAGGGTGGGGGATTTAAGAGAGGCAGTATTCAACAGTACTAATGTGCGGTCAGCCTGTATTCAAAGGGGGAAGCCTCATCTCTTGCGAAGCTTGAGTCAATCCGTGGAAAGGATAAATTTTCCGTTGTCCTTTAAATTCATCACCTCATCGGTCCTTTTTCTCTGCTGTTGAAATCATCGCCGGTTTTTTTTATTGAAAAAAAAGCCTTACTGTCGTCAGCAACAATATAATAAAGGATAGTAAAAAATTAATATATGCAGTCACATAACGTTTTCCTGTAGTATCGTTGACTGGCGAGCTTCAAAACTATCTCAAATTAATCTTTCACGACAAATTCAGAGTACTGTTGTGTTTTGTGAATAGGTTGTGGAGCTGTTGTAAACAACTCGCTGAAAAGTCCTGGATTCCCGAATAAATATCCGTCCAGAATGGACTGTATTTATTTGGTTCCAATTCCAAAGGACATGACCATGAAAGTTATTTTTGAGAAATTCAGTATGGAATACACCGACAAAGATTGCAGGTGAGAAATATAAGTTATACCAAGAGATCCCTTCTTGGTTATACTACCTTATACTACCTGTTACGGACCAAGTTATTATACTGCGGTGTATGAACCAAACTTACCCCTTTTATGGGGCATTGGTTGCCCCCTATGTCACGGGTCGGAGATGCCAGTGGTAGATCCAGGGGAGGAGCCCTGGGGGCCCGAGCCTCCCCCCCTTATTTTTAGACCAAATTGAAAAAAAATATTCATTGTTATCAAGCAGTTTCTTATGGAAATTCGTGGCTGATTGTGTTTGTAGCTTTGACTTTTTAAAGATAACCAATGAAAATAACGAAGTTCC